TGCTTACGTCAGCATGAACTAACAGATTTCAACCAATAATATACTGACATTCTCCCGTCAATCAATCTTCAACTTTGAGCGACACTAACAGCTAGCTAACAGCATGGCTAGCTAGCAGAGCTCACTGATTACTGTACAAACACACAACTTTATCAGTGATTTGGGTGAAACTGGATCATATTTTATTTAGTATGAAACCGCAATATTTGATGAATGTGTCTGTAGAACTGAGGAAAGTACTGAAAGTTGATACCGGTCGTCTGTAGCAGAGTAAAGCTCCAATGTCCCAGAGGGGTGTTTACTTTACAAACAGCAGTCAATGAATAATTAATACAGCGATCAATGAAACTACGGTGAGTTTCACAGGTTAACACCGTCACAACCATCCAGAGAGAGCAGCAACAGCCAGAAAGCAGCTCTCTGCAGGGTTCAAATTATAACTTTATTCCACTCAGAAATCAGTTCCTCTGAAGAATCAGACCAATAAACAGAATCAATAATGGTATGTGGTTATACTTTATCCTCTTGGGACTTAAATAATTCAGTTGTAACTTCTCACTTTCTTCAATTAAATAAGCAGACAGACAGAAAAGGAGTAAAATAAATTAACAAATAACACAGGAATAAGGAAAAAAGAGCAAGAGTTAATTTTTAATATCAGAGAAAGGGAAAAAACAAAAGAGCTTCTTTTTACAATAAACTGTAAATTTGGTTAAAATAAGATTGAAATAAAAACCAACATAGTCTTACATAAGAGGAGAGAAAAGGTCTCGAAGGGAAAAAGACCCGAAAGGTTCCCAAATGTTACCAAACATTATATAACACATTACATTATATATAATATGTTCATTATATTTCCTATCTGTCTGACACTGACCAGGTTTGTGAAGGTTGATGATCATTTTGAAAAGTTGTGTTCTCTGTTTCTGCCCTGCAGATTATATTTAACCTGACAGTTTTGTCATTTATCCGCATTAGTGTGGACATTATTGACTGTCTGTCTCTCTCTCTGTCTCTCTCGCTCTCTCTCTCTGTCTCTCTCTCTCTCTGCAGATGTCCAGCTACAAGCGAGCTACACTGGATGAGGAGGAAGTGTCGGACGCTCCGGCTGAGGCGGTCTCATTTCCTGACAGAGTGGAGGTCAGTGAACGCAACACAAACACACAGACAGAAGAAGAAATAACAAAAGGAAAGAAAGAGAAGCTCAGAGAGGACAGAATAAATACAAATATGACTCCTCAGGAAATCCCCTTAAATCCCCTAACTGGTCCCAGGTGAAGTCCTGGATTCCTGCAGAGATTTAAATCCCAGGACAGAGTCACAGAGCTCACTCCTGGAGCCAGACCTTGGGGGGGCCGAGAATAAAAACACAAAATGGGGCCACCGCGGTGTGGGTCCGCCGGCCACAAAGAGAGCAGCGGCGGGGGGTCTGGAGCGCTGCCAGTTAGAGACTCTGGTTCTAACAGTGTCAGCTCTCTGGAGGAGGAGGTAGATACTGAAATATGTCAGACTGCAATCAGCTCTGCACAGGGGGTTTCTGGGTAGTACGACGAGTGCGAGGTAAACGGTAAACAGCATTCAGGGAAACATATTTTCTCCATAAAATCTGATCCAGTTTCACCAAAATCACTGAATACAGTTATAAAGTTGAGCTAACTAACGAGTCCTGTACAGGAAACTAGCTACAGTGAAAAACGCTAACTAAATCGTAAACTAATTCACATACTTCGTTAGTTACTGATTGTTTGCTTACATTAGCTTTCAGATGTAACTAGTTACAGAGCTAAACACTGGCTAATGTAGCTATACAGTAGGTCTTTGTACAGTACTCAGTGAGGCTGTAGACGTCTGTAACACATCAGAAACACTCCGCTCCGGAAGAAGAAAGAAAGCAAATCTGTTCTCTGAATTAGCCTCTAACTTCGACTAACTCCTCGAACTAGCAGGAAGGAACTAGCGGTTAGCGGTAAAAAATATCAATAAAAATACTCCAAAATACCTAAAAAATGACTTTTCTGTTATTGTTGGACAGATGTGATTAAAACACTTTATCATTGTTTGACTCTACGAGGCCAGAATGGAAGTGGTGTGACAGGTTTTAGGACTCGGGCTGATGTTCCCAGGGTTTGAGCTGGGTTAGAGCTGAAGACAGGTCCAGCTGTGTTCAGTCTGTCTGTCTGTGTCTCAGGTGGGGTTCAGGAAGGGAGGTGTGGACATTCTGGGCAGGAGGACTCAGCTGGAGGTTCTGCTGTCAGTCCTGCTGCTAGCTGCCCTCCTGGCTCTGCTGGCCTGTCTGCTGGTCCTGGGACTGGGATTCAGCTCAGGTACCAACACACAAGCACCTGCCTCCTCCTCTGCTTTTATTCCCTACCCCCGTCCACCGGTCTCTGCCTCCTCCTCTCCTTTCCTGCCGCACCTTTCCTTCACTACCTCCTCCTTTCCTTCTCTGTGTCGTCCTTCCCCGCTTCCTCTCGCTTTATTGTTTATTTCCTTTCCTGCCCTCACCCATCCTTCCTCACCTCCTCTTCCCATCACCGCCTCCCCATTTCTTGCCCTGCCTTCCCTTTCTTTTGCTTTTCTTTTTATTCCTTCACTCCCTTTCCTACCACCGCCTATCCCTCTGTGCCTCCACCTTTCCTTCTTTACTGTCTTTCCTTCCTCTCCCTTCCTCTCCTTTCCTTTCCTTTCCATTCTTTTCCTTTCTTTACATTTCCTTTCCTTTCCTTTGATTTCCTTTGTTTTTTTGTATCCCATGATGCCATGCAGACAGTGGGCGTGGCCTGTGCCTGTCCGAGGCGTGCGTCACGGTGGCGAGTCAGATGGTGGAGGCGATGGACCGCAGCGCTGACCCGTGCCAGGACTTCTACCAGTTCGCCTGTGGAGGCTGGATGAGGAAAAACCCGCTGCCTGATGGACGGTCGCGCTGGTCCACGTTCAACAGCATCTGGGAGCAGAACCAGGCCCTGCTCAAACACCTGCTGGGTAAGACAGGTAGAGAGACAGACAGGTAGAGAGAGACTGGTGGACAGACAGACAGGTAAAGACAAAGACATTAAATTAAACATTTAAACTGAAGCGAAACTTGATTTAAATAAATGTATAAAAACTGTATTGTACATTACAGTACATACTCTATAGTATTTATCAGCTATTGTTTCCACAAATCAAAGTGGATCTGACTTAAATATTTAAATTTAAATATCAATTATTTTATGTTTTTAACTTTTTAAGTTTGACAAAGCAGATTTGAACAGAGAATCACATGTTAGAATATTATATACTGGTGTAACCCTCCCTCTGTAATAATTGTTTCTTAGAGAACGGGACTTTTAACGGCAGCAGCGAAGCCGAGAGAAAGACTCAGTCCTACTACCTGTCCTGTCTCAACACACAGAGGATCGAGGAGCTGGGAGCTCAGCCTCTCATAGACCTCATCGCCAAGGTAACCATGCCATGCACTTCATCACTATGGTAACCGCTTCACTCAGATACAACAGCATCACGTGGTGCAGCTCCCTTCAACAAAGAACCCTGTTTTATCTGAGTCTCTTATGGCTCACTGACAGCTGGGTACAAGAAACAATAATAAACTGAAGTTGGTTACCCCTGTCTTGCATCGCTCTTGGCTAGTAGAGTGTTAGCTTTCTATTTCTATCATTTATTGTTGGCTCAACATTGTTTGTTGAGCCAACAATTATTAATTAATTATTATTATTATTATTATTATTATTATTATTATTATTATACATAAGTTAGTATCATGTAGCTGGGGAAGCTAACATTAGCCAACTAAAATATCCACTCACAGAGTATTTTGTTAGTGATAACAAGCAAGCAAGCTATGTTTAGCTGCACCCAGCCACGCAGAATGTTTACCATTTTATGCAATTCTACTGACAGTAACACACAAAAATACAGATACAGATACAAGATACAGAGGACAGGGCAGAGACAGGACAGTCTCTCAGAGGCAGTTAATAAAGATTTTATTGAGTCCATTTGGCAATAACACCTAAGTTACAGAGGAAAGATGCAGGACAGAGGTTGTTGCTGTGGATACATAGCATATGTCTCTGCTGTAGATACAGGTCAGAGGTCTATACTGTCATATACAACATCAAAATTAACCACTGCAAACTTTAATGACTGCACTGTGGTTAATTTAGGAGTGAACATTATTAATATTAGATGTGATTGCTGCTCACACAATTGTGATTATCTCTTTTTTTCTTTTTCTCTTTTGGACTGATATTAATTACCGCAGTACAATTCAATTGCGACAGATTTTGGGTGCTATCTTCAGGTGTGAATCAGAAACATCTCCCTCCATTCAGAAGCTGGGCAGCAGTAGCAGTGACACATGTATTTTCTTAAGGAAATGCAAATATTCCAGTTAATTGTGGTAATTTATTATTACCAAAGAGAAATAACTGTGTAATAGCAGCCACTTCAAATAAAGCATATAAAACAAGTAAGGTAGCTTGCATTATATAATAATCAGTTAATCCAACCATGTATGTAACAGATGTGGCAATCACATACCATAAAATACCAGAAAATATAACTCAGAAGTTCAAAGTTGAAGACCTCTAGAGTCAGTGTAAATTAAAGTTAAAGGAGTAATAAAATATTAACAAATGCCATATTTTTATATATATAGTCTTTTATCAAATAAATGCAAGTGTAAACATTATTGTAGCTGCAGCGCCCCCACCAGGACAAACTTCACAATCTTATATTATGTTTTTTGGAATCTGTTCATGTCATATGATTTTTAATAAGACAAAGTTCTAGTAAGAAAACCTAAGACAAAAGACTTCATATGACCCAAGAGATTTATCATTTCTGAAATATGAAGCTGATGAAATGAATATTGCCCTGTGTGGGTATTCTGAGGAAATATGGAGGACCTATTAATAGACTTAAACTTGAGAATTTGCGAATCAATAATACTATAGTACAATGTTGTGGATGAAGAATATTTACAGTCTAAAACAAAAAAGGGACTATCGTCAGCAAACATGTATAGAATTGTATTACTCCATGTCATTTAAAGAGATCTAAATCGTGATTATATTATATAGATCTGTACTGATCAGGCTCAAACAATATGTGAATTGTCAACACCTGCACCCTGTTTCTGCTTGTAGATCGGGGGCTGGAACATGACGGGTCCCTGGGAAAAGGATAACTTTATGGAGGTTCTGAAGGTGGTTTCTGGTCCTTATAGAGCTCAACCTTTCTTCAGTGTCGGAGTCAGTGCTGATCCCAAAAACTCAAACAGCAATGTCATCCAGGTAAATGTTCTTTTTCAGGAACTCCCTGATCATATTTACACCTGGAAGCTGCCCAGTGCCACTGACCACTGTACCAAGGACACCTCAGTATAACAGTGGAAATGATTATATAATGTTTTGTTCGGTTTGGTCAAGTTTACTTTAGTGATCTATTTCAACAGTTTATCCAATGCTTTTAGCCAGAGGTGGCAAAAGTACACATTCTTTACTCAAGTCCAGATAATTGTAAAAGTAGAAGTACTGATTCTTTATTCAAGTAAAAGTGAAAAAGTATAGGCTCTGAATTGTACTCAAAGTATAAAAGTCAAAAGCAGTCTCTTTGGTTTCTCTGAAAGACATTTCTACCGACTGTCTCTCTGCTAAGCTAACTAAAACTTTAAATAGAGTCCTCTCTTGTCTGTTTCGTCTTTTACATGATTCTTGTCTTATTCATTATTGTTAATGAAGGATCCCCATTAAAAGCTTTATTATTTTATCTCCTCTGCTAACTAGTTTTCATGCACTCTTAACTGCAAATCAAATCCTTAATTCAATGTAGTCAAATTGAGCCCCCTGGCAACAACAGAACAGTACTCCTGGTTGGGAATCACTGCTTTAGAGTATCAATAGGGAAACAACACCAACAATCTGTGGTCATCATCTGTTCTCTCTCCTCTGCCCAGGTGGACCAATCAGGGCTCTTCCTGCCGTCCAGGGACTATTACCTCAACAAGACAGCCAATGAAAAGGTGAGGATTCTTCAAGCTCAATGTGTCAATTTAGATGATATGAAGCCTAAAGTGTCAACTTTATGACACAGAGATGTTTGAGGAAAGAAATCAGACTTTCATCTGGATTCCAGGTGCTGGTGGCGTACCTGGACTACATGGTGGAGCTGGGGATGCTGCTGGGGGGTGAGAGGAGCTCCACACAGCTTCAGATGCAGCAGATTCTGGAGTTTGAGACGGCACTCGCCAACATCACCGTCCCACAGGACCAACGAAGAGATGAGGAGAAGATCTACCACAAGGTCACCATCGCTGAATTACAGGTGAGGTTAACGGCACCTGAGGGGTCCACTGTAACTTCTACTTCTGTAAAAAGTGGAAGAAGAAAAGACTGGAAGTCTCTCACATTAAAAGTCAGTTTTATGAGGTGGTGAAGCAGCGTTGGATCATGGGAGTTGTTTTCACCACCAATGTCGTCATTGCA